TTGACAAATGATATTTATTCATTCATATTGATACATGCAAAAAAATTATTTATATATATATATTATCAGAGCCAACAAGAATAAAAGCAACATGAACTTAATCATATCCAAACATCCTGAGGAAATGAGTAGCCAGTCCTGGGGCCCTGGGGTCATAGTTCTAGGAGACACTAAGGTCAATTGGCATAACAAAAGACAGTATTTTACAATCCTTGATGAATAGTAAGTAAGGTCTTAAAAGCAGCCATCTAAGGTTCAACTATTGGCCTTTTTTTCCATCTGGACTAAATAAAAAAGTAAAACAAATACGTATAGAAACAATTACTACAAAGGACTAATGAATAATATACACTTCAATCTCTAGAATCCTGAGACCAGAAGAACTAGGTGATGTCTGGAAATCACTGTTGACAACTTTAAAAAGGATTACAGTAGAAGGTCCCAGATAAGTGGGAAAACTGTATTGCTAAAAAACATAAAAATGGTCTGATAACCATAAACATGGTCTGATAAACACTGGTGGAACTCAAACCTATGGTCTTTGGTCACTGCTGGAATCTGGAACAAAATGCACCCCGTACTTATTTAAGTCATGCCTAGATAATGATAGCGCCAGGGAAGTGCTCACTCCTTAAAATAATCAACCAAATGAAATTTAGAAAAGGCAGGATTTATCTAAAAATAAAGTTCTAGAGGCAAGAAAAGGTAAAATAGAATGATTCTTGGAAATGGGAATCATTAAGAAATAGAAAAAGCAGTGAGAGTACATTGAGGATTACAGCAGGTATTATAATTAATGCTAAAAAACATATAAATTGTTGAATGAAAAATGAATTTACTTTGAAAACTTAGACTCAAATCACATTTTTTAAAAAAGATAAAGCAAAAGAGACAAAGTTCAAAAAAAGAAGTGGACAAGACCATTTTTATAGTAAGGGAAATGGGAAGGCACTCAAAAACTTTAGGCAAAGGACTATTATGATCAGTTTTATACTCAGGGAGCTCTGTTTGCCTAGCGATAAGAAGCTGAGCTGTCAACCCAAAAGCATATGGTTCAAATACACCAGCTGCTCCCTGGAAGGAAGATGGATACTCAAGTGCTGTGTAATTTGTAACCTATAAAAACCCATTGGAATAACAGCTATGAGCTGGTTACCACTAAATGGCACAAAACTAACAATATTAGTAATTTTTATTAATAGTTCAGTAGTTGAACAAGGAGAACTTATCACAATAATTTCCATAATCACCCTCAAGAAAATATCTATCATAATAAGAAATGTTAGAAAATTTAGAAATATATACTTGCATAACTAGAGCAGATACATGAGAATAGCTAATGCTTACTGAAGCTTCCTATGTGTCAGGCACTACTATGAGTAAATTTTTAAATGTGTTATCTCGTTTAGTCTTCATAAGGAGGAAAATAATTTATTATTACACAGTTAGTGAGAAAGTGGCACTGGGACTTGAACTCACAGAGTGTAGCTCTAGAAGCCATCTGCGTAGTCACACTTTATAGGATTTTCTGTGATCATCCTAGCCCCTACCTACTTTCAATTCATCCTACCCTTAATCTCCTCTTATCTAGAAATTCTGAGTCACCACTGATTCTGGGATTGTAAAGCGTAGAGTGGAGAGATCCAGATTGAAGGTAGGGATTACTTTTAGAAAAGTGCTGCAGAAATACTGCTAAAATATGCAGGTGAATAGGGGCAGCAAAGGAAATAAGAAATAGAGAGATTTGAGAGATATGAAGAAGGAAATGAAGAGGATTTTTTGATTCGGGTACCTGAGAGAATACACGTCATCATGACATCAGAAAATATTTGGCACCAAGTATTATGGTGCCAATATGGTGTTTAGGTTTGTTTTTAAAATTGTGGTTTGAGTAAAATTTTACAAAGCAAATGGGGTTTATATAGTGTTTTAAAAGTAACAAAATACTATGGTATTTTTATTACTATCTGTTGGATTATTCCCCATTAAGTCATAATATATTTACAGCAGATAGCTACAGGTAAACTTTACAGAAAAAACTATATGAATATAGCTTTTTATGGATTGTGCCACATTCATTTTACAATTTAATCTTAAAACAATTTTTTACAGCCAGTGAAGCAGAAATTACTCTTGTTTCCATTTTATAGATAAAGTTATTAACAGAGAAGTGAAGTAATTCACCCAAGGCAAAGACCCTGGGCCACAAATGCAAGTCTGCTCTATAACACAGCAGTCAAACAGCCATCCTGTACTTGGTCCTATCCCACTGACCTCATGCTTTGGATCAGTAAGAACTGAGACTGCAATGGGATGTGTACAGAAAGCATGTATCAGCTTTCTATGGTGAACAAAGCACCAAAATTGGCTGGCTTCACCTCTCTGATACTCATTTTATCCATAGAATGGGAATGGGAGTAATCCCTGCTTTACCTGCAATAAATGATTAAGATTGAATTGGAAAATTATTGTGGCATAATATATAAAGAGCTATATTCACTTATTAATTTTACCATAAAGTTTAACTGGAGCTGTCTGCTATAAATCCAACTGATAATAATAAAAATATTATACTATCTTGGTGCTTTAGAACAGAATTTTACTGTCCCATTGTAATGGAAGCTGGACATCTGAAATAACAGTGTCAAGTTAGACTCAACTCATAGCTGACCCTCCACTGGGATTTCAAGCCTGTAAATCACACAGAAGATTCCAATCTTTTTCTCTTGGAGCTGCTGATCAATTTAAACCACTAGAGAAGCATAGCTCTGGGTTAGTTGCCCAACTCTCTATGGACTGTGCCAGCAGAACTTCCCATTATGGTGTACACTGTTTGTTCTGAAAGCCCTGAACGAGAATCTGTTCCATGCCACTCTCCTAGTTTTAGCAACAGCTGGCAATCCATGGCTTTCCTTGGTTTGCACTTGCAGCATTGCTCCAATTCTACCTCCATTTTTACATGACTGTTATCCCATGTCTGTCTCTTCTCTTTGTTCATTATAATATTCATGCTGGATAAACACCCACCCTACTCTGGTAAAGGAGTCCTAATGATGTTGGAATGCCAACCTCAAGGTCATTGATTGGAATCTACCAGCTACTCTGGTCTATTCTTTATAGATAGTCTCCTCCTGTAAAGATGTCCAGCCTTGGAAATTTAGATTTACTGAACATTGGAACCAACTTGAAGGTAGTTTGGTTGGGGGGGTTTTTCCTACTATGGTATGATCTCATGTTAACTGAAGAGCATCTTACAATATCCTTTTCCAAACAAAATCATATAAAGTTACTGCATATTAGGGGTACAATGTTAACTTTTTCAGTGACACAATTCAAACCAGAGAAGGGGTCAAATGTGATCTCATCTTGGAATCTCTTTAGTAGATGTTCTGTTGTTGTTAAAGGAGTAGAAAAAAAAATCAATCAAGGATGGCAATTTTAATCCACCTAGATGTTCAGAAGTCCCTTGGAAGAAGGACCTGGTGATATATTTCCCCAAAATAATTCCTTAAAAATTTTATGAAACACACTTCTACTTTAACACACAAAGGGTCTCTATGAGTTGAAACTGACTCTATAGCAGTCAGTTGGTTTTATTATAAAGAAGCTTTAGTTGTTGCTTCTATGGCCAAACCTCATGAGGGTTTGTCCTCCAGGGAAATTGTTTACTCAAACTATTTCTTCTAAGTCTGTTGTTTGTTTCTCACTAGTGGGCCCATCCCCAAACCAACGGGAGCTGGGTACAATGAAACCATTCAAAGCAGAAAGTAAAATGCCCCTGTTTCCTTTTTCTCTATATAACATCATTCTTTGCTTCTCTGTGTCTTTCTTTTGTCCTGCTTATTGAGTAATATCAGTGTGGGTGTGGGGAGTGGGTGACTTGCCAGCAGTGAGACAGTGTGGCTGAGGACCTGCCTGATGATAAATGCTCCCGGGTGAGCATTATGGGCAAGCTGCCCAGGAACAGCTTCTCCAGCATATGGGCTGTGACCTGCTCCTCCTGTTCTGCCTAAGCCATTCTCTGCTCTAACTCATGGACCATGGTTCCCCTGGGCAGAATGAAGGCACATGCCCCATCTGTGAGTCAGATGGTAGGAAGGCAGTATAAAACGATAAATTCTGCAGACAGAACGAATCCGAGCTTTCCCCTTTACCAACTGTGCAACTGAAGAAATTGCTTAACCTCCTTATGTCACTTCCTTTCCTATAAAATGGAGATATATCTGCTTACCTCATAAAGTACTTAAAGGATAAATGACATAATCCATATGTAGTGCTTATAACACTGTGTCTGGCATATAATTCCAGCATTCAGTAAAAGTAAACAATTGTTTCCTATTTATTCCCCAAATATAATTTGTTAAATAAAAACTGACAGGATAGTTATGAGTACTCATGATTGGACAATTGAATTATAGATTATTTTTCTTGTCCTATTTCTACTTATCTTTATGTTCTAGATTTTCCATAACGAACACACATTAATTTTAAATAAGAGACATAAAACTTCCTCTGACAACCTATGGAGTGCAGTAGATTGGAGTGGGTGAAAAAATGAAGATGATCTCACCATTGTCTTTACTAGAAGGTTTTTAACATCTGTCTGTGAAGACAAGGCTGGTAGACAAACTATACAATAGAGATAGTGGTAAAGCTTGAGGTGGGATGAGTGTGGGACCAGTTCCTATGGCTCAGCTGAAACCTGGAATAACAGAGATGTCATTATGAGTCTTACCTCAATGGTTTTTGTATGTAATCTCTGCTGGAAGTAGGAAAGCAAAGCAACATAGTCATATAGAGGACATCACTCCTTTAATCTAGCCAAGCTTCTCAGCAGGATAGAGATGATGGAGCTGAAATTCTTCTCTATGGCCCGTTTTGGAAGGAGCTTATGTTGAAGAAAACAATAAAATATCTTATGTAATACTTTTTATATGTGATAGAAAGGTTCCCAAAATTTGAAGCAGCCTGCAAAATCATATGAAGAAGTGATTTGCTATTTCTCTCTTTCCACAGCATTATTAGCATCATAATTATTCTGGCTGGAGCAATTGCACTCATCATTGGCTTTGGTATTTCAGGTATGTTATTTCTTGTATTACTATAATCCATTAACCTTCACCATCACATCTTCAGTTCCTCAATATGGTAGCAAGAGAACAGGACTTAGATACAGACCACTTCCAAGCAGATTCTTCTAATTACTGTTTCCCCATCACTTTATTCATTTAACTAACTGGGCCTCAATTTCCACATTTAAAGAGTGAGGAAACAATGTTTATCAGGAAGTTGAAAGAACCAAATGGGATGTTTATTGGAATGTTCTATAGACCAGTCAATACTAAAGATATCATTCTGATATTATGCGTAAAGTGCCAGGGTAAAGTGGTTCTGTCAATGGTTGACCTGAGTATGCTTTTTCTTTAAAATGAACCTATCTATGAAATTTTTTAAAAACCTAGCCTTTATACACCATCATTTTAAAGAGATCTTCTGTAGAGTCAAAACTAGTTATAACTGATGTACCATGTCAGACCTAGTTGGGCAGTAAGTGTCCTACTAGGTGTTGAGATGAGTAGAAAGAGGAGCAGGAGTAAGGGAGACATGTCTGATTTCAAAGGAATTGGTTTTGCATTGTAGATGCTGTCAACAGGGACAGTTCACCCTTGTGTAATTGGTAGAGGTCAGATATGGCTGTCCCAACCTGGCTCTTGCTCTTTTTACATATATATTTCCATCTATATTTATTTTGTTTTGTATATAACAAATTATGGATATGAATCTCAAAAGACTTAATTGTGCCCACACAAAACCTATACACACATCAAGAAACAGTTCAAACAGAAAAAGGAAACACTGTATGGCTTAAAATAAAGAAAAATGTGAACCAAAATTGTATTCTTCCCTGATAACTATTCCATCTGTATGATGAGAAAATCATTCAAGAAGCTGGACGATATGAAGAAGGATGTGGTATCAGGATTGGAAGAAGATTCATCAATAACCTGTGATGTGGATGATGTAACATTGTATGATGAAAGTGAAGAGAACATGAAGCACTTGCTATAGAAAGATCAAAGACTATAGTCTTCAATATAAATTATAGCTCATTTCAGCATCAACAACAAAAAATCTTAATCACTGGACAAATAGGTAACAACATA